TGGCCCCCATTGGCACAGACACCGCTGGGCGCTGGCTGGGCGCTCGGAGCTGGGGTGGGGTCTCAGTCCCTCGTGGCACAGACACCGCGTGGCTGGTGAAGTCTCCCCGTGAGCATCGTGGTCTCTGGGTGGGCTGGCTCATGTACAGAAGTGAGCAAGATGCCCCTTCCCCTAGCTGGCCAGTGGGTCTGGCTGTAGCTGGTTTCCCTGGCAGCACGTTCTGGCCTGTGAGCTGCAGGGCCTGCCCGGGGGCCGTTCAGATGCAGCGGTCGAGCCGCGTAAGGGGGCGGGGGAGGCTGCAGGTGGGGACTGGTCCCCTTGGCATTAGCGCCGGCTCCCCTCCCAACTCGCCCTTGTCCTCTGAGCTGTTTGTCCTTGTTTGCCCTGACAGAGCCCTGAGCACGGCCTGCCATGGCCAGAAGCAGAGCTGACAGCCGCGCCAGGCCCCGCAGCGTGGCTCCACAGCGCACCCCGCCGTAGCTTTGTGCAGACAAACCCACTGGACACAAATAAATGGCTGGAACCTCCCGTGTGCGGGCGCCTTGGTGTCACTCCGATGCCAGCAAAGCCCTACCTGTGGGGTGGAGAGCAGGCTGCTAGGAGAGGAGGAGCCCTTCAGCTGGGGGCCCAGGTTAGACTCCTGCTCCAATCACAACAAGGGGTGGGACAGGGAAGCCATTGGCCCCACCCCCAGCTCCCCATGTTCCCGGCCCCGGGGAAGAGGCAGGTGTTTGAGGAAGGTCTCCCGGTGACTTGTGCCAGGTAGATCCCCAGGCCAGAAGGGACCACAGTGATCATCTGCTCTGACCCCTGCCTAGCACGGCCCCCCAATAATTATCCAGAGCAGAGCTGGTAGATGGAGCATCTCCCACAGCCCTCAGGGGATTCTTCCAGTGGATAATTACCCTCCCTGTTAATAATTAACACCTGATTTCCAGTCTGAAGCTGCCTAGCTTCAACTTCCAGCCACTGCCTGGTGTTAGCCCTTCCTCTGAGAACTGGCTCCTCAGACTAGCAGAGGTACTTACAGCCTGGGAGCCCTTCAATCTCTTTAGGGGGCTAATTCGACTCGGGGAGCTCGATCTGTCACTGTAAGGCCTGTTTCTAACCCGTTAATCAGTCTCATGGCTCTTCTCTGCCCCCTCACCAATTTACCAGCATCCTTCTTGCATTGTGACCATCAGAACCAGACCCAGGGTCCCAGCCGAGGAAATACACAAGGAAAAGAACCTCTCGCTTCCTACTCAAGATGCCCCTGTTCATGGCCCCCAGGGCTGCACTGGCAGCTCAGGTTCAGTCCCCCGCAGTCTCTCGCTCACTGCTGCCACTCTCTGCGGGCTGGGGCTGAGCGGGTGTTAAGCCTCAGAGCTGTATGCGATTCCTGCCTGGTCCCATGGGCGAGGGGGGGCTCGCACAGAGCTTCCTGCAGCCTTTGCCAGCTGAAAACTACTGTTATCCACAGCCCAGGGCCCCGCTGTGCTGTACAAGCCCCCGCAGACTCCCTGCGGGGAAGGGTCCCTGACAGTCTGGGCTCCCATCCTGCTCTCCAGCTGGGCAGAGCTTGGCCCGCTGGCAGCCAGGACGCTGCCTGCCCCGGCAGAGGCTCTGAGGGAAGTGGTGGCTCCTACCAGCCGGGCGGTGCTGATGGTTGTATTGTGGGCACAGCATGCAGGCTGCATTAACCCCTTCTCCTCCAAGGGGGCAAAGCTGGCCCTTGGCTCTCTTGCCCTTCCTCCATCAGTCCAGCCTTGTCTTTAGGCCTCCCCAGTCGCTGCTGAGCAGCCTGCCAGCTCCTGCCTTCCTGTACCAGCAGCCCTCTCGCTGCTGCTCTGGGCGGGGCAGGCTCCTGGCCCAGGTTAGAGGCCTGCCCCAGACTACAGAGCTCAGGGGACATTTCTTCCAAACAAACTTTAATAGAAACACGTTACAAGACAAACCCTATCTCATAAAAATAGCTTCAAATCCAAGAACAACTCTATAGCGGCTCGGCTGAGTGGGAGGCAGCGAACGACTGCAGCAGCAGGAGAATGGCTCTGCCTTGGTGGCTGGCTGCAGGGCTGCTCCAGCCCTGACCCTTAACAGGGAGGGGCTGGCCAAAGCTGCTAACCTGGGGCCCAGGCTCACGGGGATGGGAACTGACCTGCAGCTCCGGGGCCTGACTTGGTTCTGCTCATGAAGCAGCTTTTGCAAGAGCCTGCCCACGTTACAAGCTGTTCCCGTGGGGTGTGCCGGGGAGAGCCCTGACTGGAGATACCCGGCCTGGGACCCTGGAGCCCACTGAGGTTCTGCTGGCACTGTACTCTGCCCGAGGACACTCCCTCAAGTGGCCTCCACAGCCCTGCTGGGTGGGGGCAGGGGCCAATCCCTGAAGCAGGACAGCTACTGTGGGGAGACACCATCCCAGCAGGCCACGGCCCCCCAGGGCCTCACTGTGGCAGCAGGGAGCTGCCCACGGGCCGGGTTCTGAGACACACCATGGCAGCTTTGGCTTAGTGGAAGGGGAGAAGGGCTGTGCCTCCCTGGCACCAGCTGGCCCCCTGCTAGAAAGCCCTTTGCCTCGGGTTGATTCTCCTGCACCCCAGCATAGGGGCTAGTCCAGCAGCCTGACCCAGTGCCTAGCCCTGCCCAACTCTCCCCACTGCCCAGGGAGACACGCAGAGTGATGGTGTCTGCATCACCCCCATCTCCAGCCCCTGGCACTATGGCTGTTGTTGGCACCCCCAAGCTTGTGATCCAAATCAGCCAGCTGGCTGCACGCAGTGCCCTCCACGTGGCCATGACTGGAGGTTAGCGGGGACCTGCACAGGGCTCTGGGACTAGCTGGGGAGACCAGCAGTGCCCCCCTCTGCTCAGGCTGCTCCAGCAATGCTCAGCTAGAGGCCAGGCAGGGAGGTGCTGGGCACGGACCCTGCAGGGCGAGCAGGGCTGGGTGGAGACTCTCCCTCCATAACACAGCTTTGGTTTGCAAGGGGAGGCTGGAGCAAGCCCTGGGCAGGGTGGGGACGCTGCTCGGCTCAGCCCGACGCCCCCTGCAGCAGGGCAGCGCGGGGGCAGGGGCTGCACCCAGCCCTGGGCAGGGTGGGGACGCTGCTCGGCTCAGCCCGACGGCCCCTGCAGCAGGGCAGCACGGGGGCAGGGGCTGCACCCGGCTGGAGACGGTGGTTGCTCTCAGGCTTCAGTGCAGAAGGACAGGATCTTGTGGTAGGAGCTGAGCGGGGGCGAGTCTGGGGCCCGGCTGGGCAGATGCTGCAACAGAGAAGAACAGGCTCAGGGGGCTGGCAGAGGGGCTCTGTGGCAGGCCATGTGCTCGCCCAGAGCGGTGCCAGCCTGAGAAGCCAGCACAGCTCAGAGCATGGCCACCCACCAGAGTGCTCTCCCCAAGCCGGCGAGGACAGGGCCACGCTGCAGCTCTGGTGCCAGGGCTGCCTGCCCCGGGAGCAGGGGGGCAGCGTTGGAGACACGGGCCCTGCTTGGGGTGGGTTCCCCAGCCCCCTCCCAACATCCGTGGGGCCCGGTACCTCGCTGAGCAGGCCCTCGGGGTCGTCGCAGATGAAGAGCGGCTCTGTTGTCTGCATCCCCATGCTGAGTGATGCAGTGTCCTCTGGGAATGCTGCAGAGGAACAGAGCCGGAGTGTCAGCAGCCCCGCCCGCCCCACCTCCCAGTGCCAGCCAGGGAGTGGGGAAGGTGCCACCTGTCGGCTGGTCCAGGGCCTGAGTGACCCGTAGCCTCAGTGGGGCTGGGCACAGGGGCTGGGCTCCCAGGCAGGCTGAATGCCCCCAGGGGGGTGGCGCTGGCTCAGGAGGAGGTGCTGCCTGAGCTGCTCCTGCTTCGCTGCCCAGGCCTGTGAGTGGCATCAAGCAATTGCCACACAATGGCCCCTACCCCCAGGTACGGTGCTGGAAGGGGGCCCAGCTGACGGCCTGCACTGAAGAGTGCAGCCACCTGGCTTCTAGCCCCAGAGGCAGCACGGCCCAGCAGAGACTGCTGGGGTCTGACGCCTGGCAGCTAGTCTGGGGGCCCCACCTGTGGCAGGGCACATGGATGAACCTGCCCTCTGCCCTAACCAGCCCGGGTGCCCGCAGCGCCCTACCTGGCAGAGACCTTTGGGCCAGGGCTCCAGCGTGGGTGTATTTCCAGACCTTGAGGGCTGAGGTGCTCTCGCTGCCGAGCCCCAGCAAACTCGGGGCGCATGCTGCTGCCTTCTTACGGACGGGGATCCTGCTGGGTCGCAGCGGCCCCAGGCTGCAGAGAACCAGAGGCAGTGCTTACAGCAGGAGCTGTCACGTCCCATCTCTCCGCGGTTCTGTGCCCCTCGCGCCTGGCCTGGCTGGGGCAGAGGGTGCCAGCAAAGCTGCTCTACTCTGCCCTCCCAGCGCGGGGAGCAGAGATACTCCGGTGAGGGGCTCAGTCCAGGCTCACTCCAACCCCACTGCGACCCCCAGAGCTGGGCCTGGCCGCAGGACGAAAGCAAAGGCGCACGCCGTGACAGGAGCTGGCTTGTGGGGCTCCTCGGGGGCCCCAAAATGGACAGTGGTTGGGGCAGCCGCCATTTAAACACTGCTGGCATCTTGCCAAGGAGGGTCCAATGGACCTGATCCGAACCCCACCCACTAGAGCCACGTCCCCTCCCTCTGGGTAGCACAGCGCTCGGCTGCGTCCCCTTGGAGCAGGCCCAGCCGGCTGTGTGTTGGGGGGAGGGGTCTGAGTCTGCCCGGGCCATTCAGTCCCTCCCCAGGGGGCACGCTCAGCAGGCTGGGAAAGGGCCGTGTCCCCCAGGCAGCCCCTGGGAGCCACATACCGGATTCTGCAGCTGCTCCCCCTGGGCCCCACAGAAAGCAACAGGGCCGGGGGCAGATGCACTGGAGCACTGCAGGCAGGTTCCCAGCTCCTGAGGCTGGTACCAGCTGCTGGCCAGGCCCTGCCCGGCAGCACGGGGACAGCAGTGCTCACTGCTCCTGGCTGCAGCTAGTCCCACCCCTCCAGCCCCTTGGGCTGAGGCCGCAGGGCAGTGACTGCCGGAGCAGGTGGCCAGCAGGGGCATGTTAGCCAAGGAAGGGCTCCCCAGGCAGCCAGGGTCTGAACTCAGCGGCTCTAACCAGAGGCAGCCCCCGGCAGTCAGTGGGGCTGGGTCCCCTCCTCCAGCCGCACGCCCTAGCCTGGCTCCCGCATCCACAATGGCAGGAGGGGGCAGAGGGCCAAGCCCAGGGTGTGTTACAGGAGTAGCTGCATCCCCCGGGGCACAAAGCCAGCTGGGGGAGGGGCACACCATGGGCCTGCCCACATCGCGCTGCAGGGTCCGAGGCAGGGCAGGTGCTGGGCCCTGGGGATGGGAGGTCCGTGCAGCCCAGGGGCTCCAGCGCTTTCTCTCACACCATAGGAAGTACCTGCAATGGCAGGGCCCAGCCATGGGCCTGGCTGGATCCCCAGCACAGCATTTCCCAAAGCCCCCCCATGCTCATCCCTCAGGACAGGACACAAGATCGGCCAGGCTGGGTCAGACCAAGGGTCCATCTAGCCCAGTGTCCTGTCTGCCGACAGTGGCCAATGCCAGGGACCCCAGAGGGAATGAACAGAACAGGGAATCGTCCAGTGATCCAGCCCCTGTCGCCCACTCCCAGCTCCTGGCAAACAGAGACTAGGGACACCACCCCTGCCCAGCCTCATGTAGTCTGATGGGCTCCCACGTGCCCCGAGGGGCAGAGTGAGACACCAGGGAGCCAGAGCTGGGAACACCCTGCCTGGCCAGTGCTTGGTGGGACTGGGGCTCCGGGAGGCTGTGGGGCGTTGTGGTCAGGGAGCTGCCCGGAGCCCCCCTCCCCTGGGGCATGGCCCTCCAGTGCCCTCCCCCAGCGCGGGGGACACGGTACCTGGGTGGTTCTAGGACTTTCCTGGAGCTCAGCCTCTTCGGAAGGTTCTAAGCAGAAAGACAGGAGACGATTGGAGAGGGCTGGGGGCGGGGGGGCGGCAAGATCCAGCCCAAGCCCAGCCCAGCCCAGCCCAGCCCAGCCAGCTTGGAGATGGGGTGACAGCAGCCAAGCACCACGCTGGGCTCCCTGCCCATCCCCTGGGGCTCTGGCCACCTGCAGCATGAGGGGGCCACCCCCCATCCCTTGGCTTCCAGGGCAGCTCCAAGACTGGGGCCCCCACCCAACCAAGCCTCCCCTGTGCACACAGCACGGACAGCGAGTGCAGAGTGGAGCCCGTAGGGTCTGATGGGAATCCAGGGACCCAGTGGGAGCTGTAGTCAGCCCAGGGAGGAATCTAGTTGCTGGGTGGAGCTGGAACCCCGAGCCCTGGGGGTGGGCACCCTCAGCCTCTCCCAGGGGAGCATGGGGCCAGCAGAGCCACCCAGCAACTCACGTGACTGCCAGCCAGAGGCCAGCCCCTTCCTCGCCGGCCCGGCCCGGCCCGGCAGCAGGACAGCCAGCGTGGGGGCTGGCTGGAAGGGGGGAGAAGAGCAGGGTTACAGAGGAAAATGTCAATTCCAAACCATTTCCCTTTGGAAACGCTGCCCCATGCACCCCTCTCTGCTATAGGCGGGTGCCTGACCTCTCCCAGGCTGCCCCACGGGGGCCCGACCTCTCCCAGGCTGCCCACCATCTCCCCTTGTGCAGATCCCTGGCCCATCATCAGAGCTGTAGTCTGTGCAGCCCCCCCCACCCCATCAATTCCCGGGCGCTGCAGGGGCCCCGGACTCTCCTGGTCTCCGCCTGCAGCTGCCAGAGGCTCCGGCGGGCGAGTTCCTGGCTCAGCACAGGGAAGGGGTTTGGACAGCCCTGGCCGGGGACAGACGGGCTGAGACCTGGTGAGCTAATGGGCCCGTTGCCCACCCTAGAGAATGGGGCCGTGAGGGGCCTGGCTCCCAACTCCCATGGCAGGAGATCCACCTCAAAGGGGGCTGGTGGGGGGATCCCAGAGAGCAGGCATGTGACCACAAGGGGCAGGGAGGGGCTGGCTTAGAGGCTTCAGGGGGTAGCAGCCAGGTTGGTTTCCACGTTCTTCCCAGCTCCGAGCATTACCTGCACCAGCGCCATGCCATAGGGGGTCTTCGGCTCTTCCCGGCCGTGCTCTGCTGCCTGAAGTCCACGGCTGGTGATCACCAGAGCCCCGGCCTTAGTGCCTGTGGGCGAGGTCCCTAGGTGACAAACGAAAGAGAGCTGAACGCCGTCAGTCCCGGCACCGGAAGGGCACGCTGCAGGAGCAGTGCTTGTGGGTGTCGCTGGCTGTACCTCCATGGTACCGTGCGGGCAGAGGGCAGCGGTGGTACATGTGCGCAGGGAAAGCAGGCTATGCTGAGCTCTGCTGTGACAGTGTGTGATGGGTGACCAGTTCTTGGGAGTTGAAAGGGAGGCGGAAAGCTTGCAGAATCCAGGCCCTTGGCTGGCTCCTCTGGCCACGCGCCCCCTCCCTTGGCTCCTCCGGCTGCGCCGTGGCCCCCCCCATGGCTCCTCCAGCCACACTGCGGCCATGCTGCGCGTGTCCCCCCTCGCTCCTGCGGCCGCACCCCGCCCTTGGCTCCTCCGGCCGCACTGCAGCCATGCTGCGCCCCACCCCCTTGCTCCTCCGGCTGTGCCGTGCTGCCCCCCCCTTGGC